GTTGGACAATCTTGGGCATTACTGTACAACGTGTCGTGCAGCTTTTTCAATGTGCTCGCTTGTGAAAACCTTGCTGTGTTATTTCTTGCTTATCTTGGTTGACAGACTGTGTATCCTGCACATGTTTTCTTGTCTTCTTTTCTTGTTAAAAAAATTGCTGCTGTCACTGATTACTGTATGAAACCCCCCTTATGTAATGCCTTAGAGGCCCTTAAGGTATATAAATAAATAAACAGGTACACTAAAACCTCCAAAATGCAACTTCTATTTCGCTCTTATCCCTTCTTACCTTCGAAAAGTTCTCCAGCGTGTCGATGGTGAGCCGGGTGTGGTGATTTACGTCGTCCAAAAGGTGGAAGAACTTCTCATCGATATTTCTGAAGACCTCTGCCGTCAACGATGATATGGTCGAGCTACGTCGGCCGAAGAAGTCCTCAAGATCTTTCAGTCTGTTCGGATACGTCAGCCGCCAAAGGATAATACAAAGTGCTTATTCTCCGCGGATCAACACTCTTTGACCAGTCACAACTGTTTCGAGAATGCGCAAGGTGACCCTAAGCTTCCGCATGTCCTCTTTTTCGAAACGGAAATATGTTCAAAACATGTCGTCGTCCATTGCGTCGACGTTGAGCAGACCACGGGAGGAAAGTGTATCCCGTCTTCTCTCGTTTAACACCACGAATACTAGAAGATCTTCTATCTCCGACCACTTCAGCTCAGAGAGAAGCAACGGGTCACCTAATATAGTTCGTGGCATAGCGCTAAAGGCAACAGACCACCTATACTGTCGCTGGTAGCACGTGAAAGGCACACGGTTCAACAACGGTGCTGCTAAAAACCCAGATACTCAATCGCTTGGTTTGGCTTCACCCTAACACTTTCGTCGGCGACACCCTCTTCCCCGTTCTTTTTTTTTTTTTGGAGAAGGGGGGACGTCGAGCAGTCCGTCATGCATTCAAATCACTGATGGCAAGTCGCATAAGAAAAACGAGGATTTGTTTCTACTAAACACCTGCGACCTATTAAAATGCATTTTGCAATATTACTTTTGCAGTGACTTCACCTTTGTTCGGCAGGTATCGCAACAAAGTTTCTGGTCGATCGACAGTAATTTACACTGCTTCAACCTTGATGAACGAGTGGCGTAGCAATGCGATCCACCGAAGCGAGCGGGGCATCGCTCCGCTATCACTCTCTTATCGAGTCGCACTCCGCTGCCCTCTCCGCTCGCCCGCTCGCTAGTAAACCCGCCCAGCTATAACTGACTGCGCTGACTGGCGTTCTCACCGCTCGCTGGATTCCGTGCCGACCGGTTGTGCCCTCACGATCTCCGACGACAACGTAGCTCTGACCTACTGGACTTGCCCTACGCCATCTCCTGACGCCGACAAGAGCTCTCGCAAGTGGTGCCCCGTCCTCGGACTTTTGTGGCCATGCTTCCATCTTTCCTATCTCTTCTATCCCCTCATATGTCCTCGCTTGCTGTCCCAGCTCATCTCTCTCTATACCATTAATCCTATCCTTTTAAACCTTCATCACCCCATCCCTTGTGAGCTACTATTGAGGTGTCGAACCCTGATGCAGACAGTTATGGGGCTCACTTTTCTCTTCTTTTCCCTCTTATAACCACTTCTCTCTCTCACACGTTTAAATGCTCATGTATACCCTATAAAGTGGGCGGGAAGATAACTCTGCTATAGCTCAGTGGTAGAGCATCTGACGCGTTATCGCAAGTTTGGTCCCTGCCGGTGGCAAGTTATCCTTCTGTCCACTTTTTTTTGTTTGCATTCAAATCAATTTTTTTAATTACACCCCTATGCTTTTTGGTATAATTGTCTGTTCGTTTTCACTATTATGGTGTTTAAAAAAGAAAATGCGCCTATATATTCACACTTTCCTTCATTTCAAATGTGTATCTCTGAAAAAGAAATGGCGAGCCAATCAAAACATTGTGGCTACTTCGAATTAGGATGAAACACTCGTTACGGCTCTTAGGTCACTACTAAACGAAGCTCACAAACAATGCTACTATTGTGGCGACCACTCAATGATTGCTGCTGCAACCACCGTTGCTCTTCAGCGATGATGCGCAACAAAACTGTCTTTAAGGTCAGCCACATCAGCTGGTATTGAGCATAACTAATTTCCAAATTTGCAGGCTGGCGTTGGGGTGATCGCACAACTGCATTTGTGGCCTGTATGCTTTTTAATAACTCATCCCTCTGACAAAAGAACATTTCGGTGAGTACGTTGATGATGATGGTATGGGGGGGGGGGGGGGGGTTAATGTCCCAAAACTACCATATGAATATGAGACACCGTAGTGGAGGGCTCCGGAAATTTCGACCACCTGGGGTTCTTTAAAGGGGTACTGACCCAAACTTTCGGGGCCGAGATAGCCTGCGGGGTCAATTCTCATGAACATTCGTATATCATCTGCAAGATATTAACAGCGAGTATAGCTGGGAAGGAATTTATAATTTAGATGTTTGCGTGAGCGACCAACTCCATAGCGCTATAGACACCCTCGGAGGTAACCTCGAGGTGACCCCCTACTTCCCTCACGTCACGACGCTGCGTTAAAAAAAAAGTTATGATGACGTCATAGCCGCCATTTTTGTTTTGTCGCATTAGTTCCCGAAGTCTATATTTCTCGGTGGCTGGTTGCGAGTGCGTGGCCATGGCTCACGCTTAGAAAGTTGTGTTTGGCGACATTCCAGTGAAGTTTTATATTCGAAAGTAATTCTTGATGCAGACCGTGCAGAAGTGCGTCACAGTTCTGTGTGCTGACGTGGTCAAACGGTGCACATGCTAGGTGGCGAAATTTTTTATTTGATTGATTGATATGTGGGGTTTAACGTCCCGAAACCATTATATGATTATAAGAGACGCCGTAGTGGAGGCCTCCGGAAATTTCGACCCCCTGGGGTTCTTTAACACGCACCGAAATCTGAGCACACAGGCCCACAACATTTCTGCCTCCATCGGAAATGAAGCCGCCGCAGCCGGGATTCGATTCCGCGACCTGCGGATCAGCAGCCGAGTACCTTAGCCACTAGACCACCACGGCGGGTCGTGGCGAAAGTTGCACCCAGTTTTTGGAACTCTCTCAAACCGAAACTCAAACTGATTGATAATGGGCCTGTAATTAATTGTCTATCACGTGCTGCAGCAAACAATGTGTCGTGCCATGACTAACAGCCCTACGGCATCGCATTGCAGCAGAAAAATGCGAGGCCAATTTTTTTGTGTCAGTACCCCTTTACCGTGCACCCAAATCTGAGCACAAGGGCCTACAGCATTCGTGCCTCCATCAAAAATGCAGCTGCCGCAGCCGGGATTTCATACGTCGATCTGCGGGTCAGCAGCCGAGTACCTTAGCCACTAGACCACCACGTCGAGGCTGAGTGCGTTGACCACAAACAAACGCTAATTAGATACCACCGCATAGAGTACGAGGAAAGAGGTGTGGATTCAAGCATGCATGCGAAAGTATCCCAAGCTTTGTTGAGCATTTCGACAGTGCATGCCAAAACTGTAATTGTAAACTACGGTAAATAATCAAAACGCGCAATGCTTTAAGTGGTATGATGCCTATCACAAATTCAATCTATCGCAAACATCAGTTTGTGCGAGGGTGACACTGTAACAAAAGAAGAAAGAAGAGGGCAGGTACAATCTAAAGCAAGAACCGGGTAATATGTGTCGAAAAAACTAATCACTGTGAATTAGTTGCTTATAATGCCTGCAGTAAGCAGGCTACTTCTGATTCCTGTGTTTCTACCCCAATATATAACATATTGGCATATAAGTAGGAAACTTTTTAAGGGTGCGAAAGAAGAGCACGGACTAAAGAAAAGAGCTACGCAATCTCACATTTGCACATGATTTTAGGAGCTTCCTCCTTTTGCTGAGGAGTTGTCTCTCGTCGTTGCGCTGGTGTGGACACTAGTGCTCATTGCTCGCGCTAGAGGTCTAGCTGTGCTCTTCGTTTCAAGAGCACTCACCAGATGGCGCGCCACCGCTCAGGCGACGCTCGCTCTACTCTCGGCACGTGCTCTAGTTTAGTAGAAGACTGCTAGGTGGCCACGCCTGTATATGGTGGCCGCGACAACTTGCTCTTTCGCCGGACAGACCTAATGCGCGTCAATACCACTACTCACTATAAACACCGCAGAAGCCAAGGTGGCGGTGTGGAGGGCTCGCCATCGGAACCCTCGTCGAACTCTCCACTACATGCTGTAATACAAGATCATCTGGCTTTGTACTTTACAGACCACAAAGCCAATATACTGAGAAGGAAACGTTCCTCCAAGATTATGTGATTCGCAAACAAGCTCTTGAACAAAATGATATATACTGCATCAGCATGTAAATATCTGTGTATAGTACATTAATATGTAAATAATAAACATTGTGTAAATAACGTGTATATACAGTCACACCACAAGAGCTCTCGTGTCCCATCTTTACTGACGATTGAGCATTTGTACAGGAGACCTCACGATTTACCGGATTTAACTTCTGGAGCAAGCTCCTTCATCATCATTCATTTCGTGGATATGCGGGAATTTTTTTTTTTTTTTGTTAGCCCGATGCATCTCACTTCACATGCTCTCCATCGAGCGCACCTGGCTTTATTAGATCCTTCTCCTCCTTCCGTCGTCAGCCTCAGTAGGTTGGCGTTTATGAATTCGCACCCCGCCTGAAATGTGGCCGCCCTGACAGGTGATCGAACACGTCCTCGAGGTTAGAAAAATCACAACCTCATAGTCAGTAAGCTGCCACAGCGGGTTTAGTTTTTACGGAGTGTGGTGCAAGAAGTACACACTGGCGTTCCATGAACATTTTTCGAGAACCGTTCAATATGTCCTGCTTGGCGAAACCACCAATGAATATAGCGCTGTGTGTGTGTGAATCTCTCCTTTGTGTGTGTCCTTGTCGTGGTGCGCTATACCAGTGAAAATGATGAATATCGCAGTAAATTTGAGACATCAATATTTTCATTTCAGAGGTTTATTACTTTATTTGAATGTTTTGCACAACCCGCTGAATTCGTATTGAGGAGCTCAAAAACAACACTACACTTTCCATCGAGTCCTCTTAATTGTATGGTGATTGTTGGTATAATCTGAAGTCGGGCTTTGTATGAATTTAAAGCCAAAATGAACAAGGACATACTTATTTAGAAAGTAGGAATGTCATGTTCCATCCAAGAAACATTTCAACATTCCAAGAAACATTTACAACAGTCAAAAAATCGCACATATTCACGACTATACCCATGTTAGCAGAAACATCGTAGCATCAGTTTCCCGATGCATTTGTCACTCAGAATTGGTGTCGAACGCTCTGAAAGCAGGCAGTCTGCCCCAGCTTGGGGAAAGCCATCGTTACAACAAATTTATTTTTTAATTTCGGCACTCGCCACGTTTACTATCAATAATATTTTGCCACCCTAATAGCACGCGTGCTCATTGTGCCTCGACACTACTGGCCGCGTAGCGCTTAGTATATCAAATTGCGCGCAAGGTAGTAATTGTTCTCATGGGCCAAAAATTATGTACCTAAATGCGCGTTTGTGAAGTATTCATTTTCACAAGGACGAGTTGTCGCATATTAGGTTTAATTGGTAGAACAGGCCGGGAAAAAAAAGAAAATTGGTACACTGTGATTACATAACATTTTTATGCATAGAAGTATAAGTAAAGATTTAAAATAGCATAAATAAAGATTTAAAATAAAAGTCCGAGTTTAAAACATGCAATCAGCAGTGTAATTGGTTACGTGGTGGTTCCTCTTTGCAGCCATATCACCACTGTGGTCAGTTTGAAGAAGCCCTGGTCGGCGTTGCTGCTTAAATATATTGGTAGAGCCGGGGCCTCCTGTTTGTGGTCCTGAAAAGACAAGACTATATGTACCTCGAATGGCTCTGTGCTCAAAACTTGTGGGGAGTCACAACGAAAATGTGGTTACTTGCGCGTGATCGAAATACCGAAGTATTTACCTAAATACCAATCGAAATACCGAAATACCGATCGAATACCGAACTTAGCGCTGTTTCCCAACGTGATGACAATAAATGTTTGCCTGTAGATGCGTTTCGTCGACTTTAACGTTAAGTGAAAGCACTTCCATTACTAGCTTTATACCTAGAATATCCAAGAAGAGGTGAACGTGCCAACGGTGCGCACCACAGAGCTGCGTAATTACTTCAACAATGCACCTAAACACGCTGTAGGAATTTTTGTCTAGTATGTGTGGTAACCACATAATTTTGCATGTTAACATGACAAGTAACACTTTACCAACATTTCATAGTTGCATAGAACGTGAACCATTACATTTTTTTATCTGTAAATGCTTTCCTAAACTATGGCACTGTCCAACCGCAGCATCCAATATATCGGCAGGATAACACAAGCCGATTTTACCGGCCGCAGGCCACTGCCCCATAGGTCAGCAAAAACTGTGGAGCTTGGTCAGACTCACTCATGAAATATATTTTGCGCTTTGAGTCTGACTCACTGAGACTCAGATCAAGCCGCGAGTCTGAGTCCGCTTGAAGAAAGTTTTCGTGAGTGTGAATCCAAGTTTGTGCGGTTTGGGATAATTTTATGAGTCTGAGTCCGAGTGAGCCCTGACTCACCAAAAGTTTCCTGAACCGGACGCACTTGGATCCACACTCGCTAAAACTTTCTTCGACCGGACTCAGACTCATGACTTGATCGGAGTCTCAGAGTTCCAGCGAGTTGACTATGAGTCCGTCAGCCTCGAATTAGATTGTTCGACCAAGCTGCCAAGGCTTTGAGCACCAGGAATCAGTGTTCTTCTTGGCGCTTTTTGACATATTACTTTGGAATACGAGATATGGGTGAGAACAAATGATTAAGAAGATTCTTCTAAGAAATGAAAAAATAAAATCTATTTATCAAAAACTTCCTTGGAACAGTTCACCGAGTGGAATTCAAGACAGCCTCCGACGTTATTCATGCCTGTGATCAATAAATACTCATAGTGTATGAACGACACTGCTTTGAAGAACGTGTCAGTAGATTTCAGTATAAACGTGAATCCAAGTAAGGCTGATAGTAATGCTGAAGATGAATTGATAGGAGTTGGAGTGCCCACGGGCTTCGCAACTCAACTAACCTGATTCGCAATACACAAAACACATGTGATAGGAGGTGCCTGTATATAAAAATAACGCTACTTTAGTTTCTTCTCGTACATTTTAACATGTCGAAGGCATTAAATATCAGGGTCCACGCTTCCCCTATTTGTTTGTACAACGCTTCAGCAAACATTTGTTTGTGAAGTTGACTTGTCAAGAACCATTCTGCTTTTGAGTGACACGTGCCCGCCGATCCACTGCGCAGAGGACGAAATGGAATTCAAGAGAGCTCTTGTTAGCGTCTATCTGATGTGCATTCCAACGTTTAACTCAAATCACTGGCCGTATAGGGCAAGCATATATTCTTCGGTGAATGCGATGTATATATACATAGAGAGAGAGAGAGAGAGAGAGCAAAAGTACAATTGCTTCCTGTTTGGTTCCCAGCCCACATGGGACGCATTGAGGGAGCCCCGCCTAATCTCAACAAGTGAGTCCACATAGCTGTGCGAGGAGTAGTAAACCGCGTAGCAATCGGAGGGCGCGGCGCTGATGTTTTGGAGAACCGTCACCCTCCCATCTCGTATAACGAACTAACAAAATATTTTTACCTGGCGCAGAGACAATACCCTCCCCCACAAAGAAAGCTAAGTAGGCCTCAGGCTCTGACACTTCAGCTTCTTCGGGTCAAGCGTACCCTAAGTCCACGCTAATTAGAAGTTTTTAGTTTGTCTGGTCCACCGCTACACGCAAAATGCTTAGCGTGTACTGGAATACCGGGCGTCAACTGTGCATGCGTGCGCCTGCAAAACAAGGCCGCGCCGCTGAAAGCGATTGCCGTCCACACGGAGGAAGTAAAGGTAGGAGAGGCCCTGATGTCACTCGTTGTGAAGCCGCCATGAAGCCGGAAGTTAGCCATATTGACTGGGCAAATTATCTTCTCTTGTTTACATCCTCTGGGCCAGCGCGACACCTTCGGCAGAATCGTTTTGTCGGATTATTAACAATGAGTAATAGCTCACCGACAACGAAGCAAGTACAAGAGAACACGCGCTATATGCACTGACAATGGCGAGTGTTTTCACGTCATTAATTCAACAACTATACAGACAACACGATCAGTCGTGCGCCTTCTACGGTTACATTCCGCCATGCGTCCGACGCAGCGTCCGGCCACTGTGTCCGTGTTCCGCATGAAACTCGAAGCCGTCAGCATTCGGCGACCGTGGTGACTTTGAGCACGGTGCAAGTGACACTTCAACTCGGTTGCTGTTCCGCTGAGATTACATGCAATGCTGGGGCAGAGTATACGAAGCAGAACTGAAAAGGTGTTTTAATACGCACATGCAAGTTTTTACTGTACACACACAACACGAAACTACGTATGTGCACATGGTCCTCATTGCGTCTTGTTGGGCTCAACAGCATCGTCCATTGCCACAAGCAGGAGCACTGCCCAACCGTCACTGACCTGCAAGGCGTTCGTCGTCGTTCCGCTTCGTCATGGTGCCCAACGCAATTTCACTGAACACTAATTGTTTCATCCGCGTCATCTGCCGCACAACACATGGATATGCACTCGTTCTACGCAATGTGGAAACCCCGTGATCGACAAAAGAATTTGTAAACGTTGCTAAGAGTACAGTAACTGCCAGAACACTGTGTAACCAATAACGTGACGCAGAGCACGGATATTGTCTGCCACAGCTCAGCCCGTTACCTGGGGAGGCACACATGCCACTGCCAGCCGCGGCCGCTCACTGCTAGACCAGCTCTACTGTGCAACACGTAACCATAGCAACGCAGCCATTGTGCCCAGTGAATATGGCCGCCATGATGTCATTTCCTTCACACATTTCACTTCGCGTGCCGGCATGGAGGAAGGAAAAACTGAGGAAAGTATCTATCCTCTCCCAATGCATTGCGAAAAGTGCGCATGTGGTGGAAGTGACGTCCAAATTGTGGGACAAACAAACCGGTATAGGGCAAACAAAACAGCAGACGCTCTGCGGCGTACTCTCAGTGCTGGTTCACTTCTGCGCAGACTTATAGCTCCGGTGTTTACTTAACGCGTATTGTATGGTTTGCATGCAGTAAAATATTGCGAGCACACCTTTCCAAGACTGTTCGTGCGTGGCAGGCCCGAGCGCAGCATGCTGAAGTACTTCGTAGAGTGTTTTTGTGCAACAGCACAGAAAGCACCGGCACGTGTCGTAATCAAAATCATTCAGCCCCTGCATCATCGTATTCGAACTCACCCAGCAGCGACTTGCGCGCTCTGCTCGACGTAAGGCCTTTTTTTTCTTAGCCAGATTTCCTGATTTACGGGCCGATTAGCAGTTGCTTGCTCGTATGCAGTGGCAGTGTGGCAATACACAATTTTTAGAGCTTGCTTCGTAGCTATTCTGTGCAACGCCAGCCTATTACTTGACGTACTTCACGTCGGTAAGAAGGCACTACTGTATTGTATACGCGATCGTGTACGTAAAGTGTCTAGTGGTCTAGTGGCTAAGGTACTCGGCTGCTGACCCGCAGGGCGCGGGTTCGAATCCCGGCTGCGGCGGCTGCATTTCCGATGGAGGCGGAAATGTTGTAGGCCCGTGTACTCAGATTTGGGTGCACGTTAAAGAACCCCAGGTGGTCTAAATTTCCGGAGTCCTCCACTACGGCGTCTCTCATAATCATATAGTGGTTTTGGGACGTTAAACCCCACATATCAATCAATCAATCAAAGTGTCTAATTCCAGTGCGCACACCATACAACACATAGTTTATTGTCTCTCCGTATGAACGACACAGCTTCTAAAAACGCGACACAATGCCCACAATACTAAAAACGAAAGTTCTCGTGTGTTCTCAGTTGACACGATGAGTAAGAACCAACGAAGCGTACAGCTGAAAGCTCCGCATGCATATACCTTGCATTATTGATCAACAGTGAAACGAAAATACGTGAAAAGTCCCACCAGGTACATCCGAAGGTGCACGCAATTCGCACCGAGTATACACTACAGCTGAGCATCGCACATCCTTCGTAAAAAACACGCAAAAGAAGCAGTACTCGTGAAATGACTCACTGCCGGCGCCACTTCTAAGGCTGCTGCGGCGGCTGCTTGCCAGAAATCGCGAAGTGTTTATCTGCTTTTCCGCTAGAAGGTAGTGCGGCTGTTTGCGATGCGGCGGCTTCATGAATATGACGTCATGGCCTCTCCTACATTTTTTTCCTTCCTCCATGCGCTTCGGCTGGGCATGCTTTCTCCTATCTTTCCTTCATCCGTGGCCGTCCATTTCGAATCTATCGAGTGGCCGTCGCGCATTCTGTAGCTCGCTAGCTTCGAATAGATGTTTTTATTTACTAGAATATCATGGCCTTAACCTTCGACAGCAAAGTATTTGTGTCGATATCGGCAATGTTTTCGAGAGATTTACTCATATAATCAATGCTTTAGGCTTAGTCAGTAACGCTCCCGGAATCTCGGAGATAGTGAAATACGTGTTTCTTAGTTGTCTTATTTTTTCTATAGATGGAACCACTTGACGTAGTGGCAGCTACGGAGTACGTTATTTGGTGATACGCCCGCTCTTTGTGTCACCGGAATACCGGACAGGCTAAAAACCTACATTGAACAAAATTTATCCCGAAATACAACCAGCATGTAGCGCGTAGACAGGATAACGACTGGTCATTAAGGGTTACTAACTGGATTCCTAGAGAAGGCAAGCGCGTTAGGGGGAGATAGAAGGTTAGATGGGCAGATGCGATTAAGAAGTTTGCGGGTATAA